GGTGCCCATGAAATTATGCTGATCTATTCTAAAGCTTCCTTCTTTTGGTTTCTTTTTTTCTTTTCTGTTCCTGTCAGGCTTGCCAAAAAATCCTGGTTTGGTAACTTCATCAACCTAGAAAAAGAAGAACAGATCTTTGTGGTCATTAAGGACAAACCGCTAAGCTCCATCAAGGCTGACATAGTCCACGCTTTCCTTTCGGTAAGTCAGTCCAGCAAGTGCTGTTCACTCCTCTTGCTGTTCAATTCTAGAGACTTTATGAAGCCAACTGTGCTCAGGCAAAACCTATACTGTCTTGCTTTTATCCCTTATGTGCCTATTCCTGCAGTCTGTTCCTTAGTTCTGTGCTTGAACCTGTCCAACTGGGGAGCTAGATTTCTCCAAACAGATGGTAAACTCTTAAGTGGAAAAGCATTGCACCTTCCAGGCTTGCTGTACTCACAACTGAAATACATCCAGAGCTTAAAGTGCCACTGCACTGTGTAGAAAGTTAATTTCCTTAATCAATGGTTCCGTTTTATTTATGTCACATTATCCTTCCCTTCTCCCTCCGGGTGCCTTGACAGTCCTCAGAGTGCTCTTTCCCTTGCACCAGGCAGGTAAACCTGCGTCACATCAGACTTCTGCATCTTAAGTTTAATCCTCCTTCTCTGCACCTCACGAATGGAGCAGGCTCATTTCCTTCAAGGACTGCAACCTCAGTGGCAAGGGGGTGGTGATTTCAATCTGCAGCTCAGGTTTTTCTCTTTCACACATGTGATCTCTGGGACTGGCACCCCTGCATGTGTGCATGTGTATGTGTGACAGGGCACTTACCATGCCTATCGCTTTGAGGGGAAGAGGCTGAGTGAGAAGTAGCCTGCAAGTGTGGCAGGGGCCAATTCGAGAGTCACTTAATCAGAAGGGGGCTGGGCTTGAAGTATATAAGCCCAGGGCCTGGGCTGGGGAGGGAGTCTAGCCCTGAGAGCCATGGAGAGAGGAGCTCCTGGGCAGTAGGACTCCTGGGCAACATCTGAGCTGGAGTAAGCAACTCTGGAGGTTTGTGGAAGGGATTAAAGGGAGGTAAGGTGGTTGCAGCTGGCCAAGAAAGAAAAAAGGGGCCAGAGAACCTGGAGGCTTGTAGCCCATGAGGGGCAAGTGCCCAAAGGTCTCACTGGCCCAGTAGGGGAGGAAGGAGGGCCACAGCCAGAGACTGGCAGAGCCAGGGGGCCCCGGCAATCTTGACTGGCCTAGGAGTGAAGCCAGGGCTCAGAGAGAGGAGCCAAAGACTGGGGAGTCACAGCCAGAGACCAAGGGGGCTAAGGAGCCCATAGCCCAAGAGAGACAAGGACTAGGGCTTGGAGCCCATTGCTTAGGAAGGAAGAAGGAAGGAGTAGCATCTGCTAGGTATAGGTAGGCTGTAAGGGGTGGTTGGAGCCATGTGATTAGCCCTTAAGGCAATGAGCATGGGCATTTGTGTTCATGAGAGATCTGACTTGGGGAGCCCTGGGGCAACGTCTCTTTCCTAAAAGTATCATTTCATCAAAGCATGGCAAGTGAGATGAAGGGGAGATCACCCACAGGAGGCAAGAGCTGAGGGGGTCTTCAGGGGCATCATGACCACCTCTGGAGATGACCACTACTACAGAGAGAGAGAGAGAGAGAGAGAGAGAGAGAGAGAGAGAGTGTGTGTGTGTGTGTGTGTGTCTGTGTGTGTGTGTGTGTGTGTGTGTGTGTGTGTCAAGAGATTCACCCTTCCAGATCCAGAGATCTCTTTCTCTCCCCTTGCCCAAAGGACATATAAATGAGGTAGATGTTAATTTAAATGCTTGTTTTCATTTCAAGAGCACTGGAAACACCCATATGTTGTTTAAGTGTCCTCCCAGACCCCAAATTTAAGGGTTGGGGTTTTTTTAATATAGTTTGCCGAAATAACATTGTTTTTCAGTCAGTGTCAGTCCTAATGATAGACCTCCTCTGAAGACTTGCTTTCCATAATCAGGACCCCTTAACCTTTTCATACACAGCAGAGCAGGACATAATAGTGTCCGTCACCCTCTGGAAACCAGCACACTCTTATGTAAACTGCGTCTGTCCCATTGTCTGGCCCACAAATTCAACTCAGAACAGAGGGTTTGCAGAGTGTCTCAATTCACAGTCCTGTCTCTTCTAGCGGTGCATTCACTCTGAAGACCCCAGTTCTATCTCCTAGCCAGCTTCATAATTAAAAGCAAGGCATCAACCTGCTAAGTAAATCCCTTGGGTTAGATATTTCAAAGAACTCAGCTCCTTTTTTTTGATCCCAGATAAGAGGTTAAATTTCTAAAGCTTTCAGCACTTGTGAAATTCTGGCCCTTACATAGAAGAATAAGTAGGAGCTGGGTGTATTTGAAATTTTGGCCTGAGCCATGAATGCAAACTGAGCCGTGAGTAATTGTGAAGCTCTTCAAGTGTGAAGGTACAAGGAGTATTCTGCTTAGTACTGACAACTCAGAATGTTTTCACTGCCCAGATTTTACCAGCACTGGTGTTTCCTGATCAGGGTAGATCCTTTTGCATAGTCCAGATTCTGGTACACTTTATGTGCCAGGTCAGCTATCAGGTATCCCTCCCTATTTCTGGTCTCTCTGAAATTGGACCATAAATTTTCTACCTTCACCTGATATCAGCTGTCACTGAGTTGTAAATATTGGTGTCACCCGTACTTGGTTGTACACGTTACGGAGCAAATGGAGGTTTGAAGCATGTCAGATACTTGACTGGCATGCACTCTGTAACTATGGCTCAATCCAGCAAGGTGCTATATATTCTTGTGAGGTGCTGGACACAAGGCTTTGTAAGTCTGAGCCTAGAAGAAGCAAATCTTTCCTCCTCTGATGTCTTTGGAGTCCTCCAGAGAAAAAAAAAGGTTCTCCTTAACTAGAGCTTTTGTCATCTTGGTATTTGTCCTCTGACTGTACTGTCTCCTGCTGCCCACCCCCCCATTTCAGATCCCCAGCCTCAGTCACAGCGTCATCTCACAGACGAGTTTCCGTGCAGAATACAAGTCCACGGGAGGTCCCGCTGTCTTCCAGAAGCCGGTGAAGTTCCAGGTGGACATAACATACACAGAAGGGGGCGAGGCCCAGAAGGAGAATGGGATCTACTCTGTCACTTTCACACTCTTATCAGGTAACCATGGCCAGCCACAGTCCACCCCTCTGCCAGGGAGCCCAGAGCAGGAGCTGAGCAATGGGAGGGAAGAAGATGGAGATCCAGAACTCATGAGGAGAGGGCAAATGTAGAAACGGAGGAACACGAGGGACAGCATAGACCTGTGATGACTTGGGCAGCAGTGTGCACACCAGGAAGGAAAGGAACGCCCAAGGGCAGCATCAGCATCGGAGTTTCTAATGTTGTGGCTGGCTTATCCTTCTTCCTTCCAAGTCCTGTGCTCTCGTCCATGCGTCATGGCAGGATGCCGTTGCATGCATTGAACTTGCTCGGTTCTATTCTGTCGTGCCTCGCTAGTTCAGTAAACATCTGTCTCTCAGCACTGGGGGGGCCACAGGGCTCCCTCCCTTACCAGGAGCATAAGTTACATGTAATAGCCACTCTGAGCTGGCCCACCTCTCCCACAGCATGCCCTGTGATTAGCTAAGACAGCAAACTGAGGGGGAGGGACTGCAGAACTGAGCCTCTCACTAACCTGGATTCTCTTCTGTGTCTTCTCTGTCCCCATCTCCCTCCTCTTTCTGACTTATTCCCCTTCACCAAAGGCAGAGGAATAAATCCCAGTCCCTCATCAGATCCCACTGCTGGTTGCAAAAGCTGAGTGTGTGCCCTTGGCCTTCCTTTCCCAGCATCCTCTTGCTCATCACAGACTGCCTGTCAGGTCTGAGGAAGGAGTCATTCTTATTTATGAAACCTGGTGGCTCTAAGATCCAGCAAATTTGTGGGTGCCACAAGTCAATTTTAGCCTGCCCTGGCACTACTTGGTTGCAAATGGCCTCACCTTTGGTAAGATAGCATAGTCTAAGGTCAAACTCCGTTAGGTGGAAATTGGAATGGATCTGTCAATTAAGAACCTCTGGGAGTGAAAATGGCCATAATTCCCAGTTCAGGATGGCAGGGGAGCTGTTTGAGGGAGGAGGAAAGCTCAAGAAGAACAAGTCCTGATGGGGTCTCAGATGCCAAGAAGGAAGAGCAGCTCCTAAGCATGGCCCTCCTATTGAGTCCTGCATGGTGGTGCAGTAGCATCTCATGGTCGCACTCCTTCACTAAGTCACAGATACTATCCCAGTCTGATGCTGGGGGAGAAGACTGAAAGAGATGTGCTTTTTCTGTCTCCTCTCAAATCCTGTGTGACTGCACGGGGACTCTCCTCTCACAGCCATTTGTGGTTCTCCCCCTGCAGGTCCAAGCCGTCGCTTTAAGAGGGTAGTAGAAACCATTCAGGCACAGTTGTTAAGCACACATGACCAGCCTTCAGTGCAGCAGTTATCAGGTAAGTCATTCAGCTGTCAAGAGCTTTGCTTCAGCAAGGACATGAAGGCGAAGCGTCTCTCAGGCCCGAAGGGCCAGGGAGCATGTCCCTCTGACTGCAACTGCAATCTAGCTCTGGTCAGACAGAACGAGAACTCCCCTCTCACCCACCCCATTCCTCCCTCCCTCATCCCCGCTCCGGCATCCCACACACATTCCCAAAGTAAGCAGCTCCCCCTCCTCTTGCCCAAAGAGCCATTTGTACCCTCTTCCAAGGCAGTGCCATCAGCCGACATTCCAGGTTTTCTTCAGCTCCAGAACCCTTCAGCATAGGGAGATGTGTAAAAGACACCAGATTAAAGTCCCAGCAAGCATGCCATGAAAATCCCAACACCAGAGAGTCTCAGATTAGCAAGAAGTTAACAGCAAAACCTCTCTGAGCGCCAGGAGGTCACAGACCACACAACGCATTTAGGTTCTGCAGAACTGGAGCTTTCACTTCAAAGAAGAATTTAGTTTCTTTCACTGTTGTAACGAAAGCCTTCCAAGTGCAGCCCATTGTGGTGTCCTCTTCCTGAGTCTGCGGTCAACCTGAAATAGTGACTCAGAGGTGCAGACTGGCTCCAATCCACAAAGCATGGCAGCGTGTTCACTCTAAAACCTAATGATGACATTTGACAGATGACATTTGACAAATAGCAGCATTACCTCTTTCTATGCCGATCATTTTAAAAGAGAGAAGGGGGAGAGTTAAACTCCTCGGGATGGTTGGGCATCAGGGGTTCCTTAAGAGGTGGAAATGCAGGGAGTAGAAAAGAGGAGACTGTCAAAGACAGGGAAGAGGGATCAAGACAGTGAAAGGAAGAGAAGGTGAAGTCAGACACTGCGCAGAGAACCTTCTCAGGCTGTGATGATTAACATAATAAAAAAAAAAACATTGGTCAGTAAAAATTATACCTGAGAACCAATTTCTATTTTGATCTTTGTGCAAACCTGCCATTGACATGGATTGGAGATTTGCTGAGCAAACCCCCTTAAAGAAGTTTGCAACTTCTCTAATCCCCACCACTCCCAGGCCCTTATTGCTTCATCTGCTGAGACTGGCTAGAAAGATTTAGACCTTGTTTCTCCTAAACATGGGATGCTGCCTGAACATTTCCGTTTGGAGAGTTCTGTCAGTGACATGGAATGAAATACATTTGCTTGCCTAGCAGGTGAAGGAAAGTGTTCAGGACAATCATTCTGTGGGAAATGCATCTGATACACAGTTTTGCTCTGTTTCTGGAATGGGGAAATCAAATTGTAGATTCAGAATCTCCTTCCCTTCTGTCTAAAGCTTCACCAGAGTATCTCTCAGTAGCAATGAAAGTTCAGCCCTCCATCAGTGAAAAGGTGGGGAGTGTATATAAAACTTGCACGTGCCTAGAAAAAGAACAGCCAGGCTCCTGGAACTGAAATGAGTCTCCCCCAGCATGTGGAAATATCCAGGCAATAGGGTGGCCCATCTCAAACAAAGAACCTTGTAATCAAATGCCCTGCTAAAGAAGGTGTGTGTGTTTCCTGAGGAGAGAATGGATGCACTTGGAAAATGTAGCTTGGAATCCAGGGTCCAGGAGAAACAAGGGAAACAACAGGTTGGGGGGAAAGAATTAAAAGAAGATTATTACAGTGAAAGTGACAGCCAGTATCTCAAATCAGGCAAGCCATAGGCCACGTCTCTCAAGCTCGACTGGGATACAGGATGGTTTGAGAGACTGAGAACAGCAATTCCTCATCTGGTCCAGATGGGCTGCAGTTGGACAGAAGGACTTGTCATCATTAGGTGGCAGTTGTGACAGTCATTTCCCAGAAACTAGAGTGAGGTCAGTTAACTCTGTCCATGGGGGAGGCAAAAGAGAACTCGGCTTCCTTCCTGTTCCCCTGACACATCGAAATTGTGTGTGGTTGTGTACAAAATGCCTGGAAACACGGTGCGAAGGTGAAGTGAAGGCAGGGGGCTCAGCCGTGGGAGAGGCAGTGGGTTCTTTGGTGAGTCAGGCCCAGCCTTTCTCATCTGAAGGATGTCACACTGCAGGGTGGCCTCTCTTGGAGAAGAAAGGGAAGGAGGCAGCAGTATGGACCCCATACCCCGTCCCAGGAAACAAAGTTAATACGCAGTTCTCTTTGACCTTCCTCTTCCATGACTTCAAAGGGATTGAAACCAGCAGTATCAGGATGTTCACCTCATGCTGCTTCAGCACCTGCCAACACGTGTTGAACTCTGCTCTGCTCTCCAAATACTTTTAACAGCCCCACCCTGGGTACTGTGAGCCTCTACATCAGCATGGCTGTATCCCAGAACTGTTCCTTATGTCATGTTAATGAGGTCTATTGCATTTGGCCCTGCAGCCTGGTAAAGACAGGTCAGTTAGCAAGGGGTTGCCAACCCACCAGCCTTTCACCCCAAATCATTCACAGCCAGGTGCTCCCACCCTTCCTGCATGTCAGATAATGCCTGACTTTGTATTAATCTCTCTGAAACCAACAGCATTAGTGATGCAGCTCAGCCTCAGTAAGGCTGGAAGGATGCATGCCATATATGGTTTCACTTCCCCTGCTCACTGCCACAGGCCTACCAGCTATGCAGGCCTCTCCCTTGCATATAAAGTTAGGCATGTGGAAGGATATGTTTCAACAGTCATGCTTTAGAGCAGGGCAGCCCGTCCCTGAAAGTGTCTCCCCTTCCATCAGCAGCATCAGCAAGGACCTCTTGGCTCCTGATACTGATGCTCGTTCTCTCTCCTGCCCTCTTTGATCCACTTGAGCAACATGCCAGCCCACTAAACCGGCTTGCCTGGGTTTCAGAACCGGACTCACTTTCCTTTGTTTCTCATTTCCTCCAGCTCACAAAAGCCTTTGTAGATGTTGCGTTGTCTATGTGTGCGTGCACGCATGTATGCGCTTCTGAGTGTGTATCTGAGTGTGCATGTGTATGTCTCCCTCTTTGACAGAGGTAGGTGTGTTTCTGTGTCACACTCTACAGTCTCACTCCCCAGTTAGTATCATTCACCCGTCTTCCTGTGTCCAGGAATTCACTTTGCTTATTCCCTTCCAGCTACTCAGAATGAATAAAATAGAAGCCACCATTAAAAGTCTAAATCCATGACAGCCATATTAGAAGTAAAAGTCACTCATTAAAAATTCCAGTCTCTATCAGAAACACAGCCCAGCTGGGCAGGATCAGTCCAGCCCACCTTCTCCTCCAGTGCTGCACCAATTAATCCCTTGCTTAAGACAACCACTGGGACAAAACCAACATCACAAAATCCATTATGCTCAGCCCTGCCCCTAAAAGAATCACTTTCTCCTGGGCCAAGAAAGAATATTGTCTCTATGGACATTCAGCCTTGATCCCAGTTCACACCTGGCTCTATGTACCTCAAACTTAACCTAGAAAAAGGACCGTTCTGTGCTGGGGGGACAAATAAGGGGGTGAGGAGTCTCTGTAGAGGGAGGAAATCCCAGATCTTTGCTTTTGTTTTAATCAAGTACAATCCCTGTTAAACTGTGCTCCACTTTCCTCTGGTGCAATAGGATAATAGAAGCAATAGCAATAGGAACAGCTGGTAAATGGAGGTTAGCCAGAGCAAACAGTGACCCTTCACTGGATGTCAGTTTTCCCCACATTAGCATTTCCTTCTGGTGAAGGGAGTTCTCCTGCATATCCCTTTGTCCCAGTTTCTGGGCAAATAGCAGCATTGATGCAGCCTTTCTTAACAACTCTGCACTGGACTCTCAGCTTCTCTGCATACTTTTTTCTGCTTTATGTCAGGTTTTAGCCTTCTGGCAGCTGGCAGTTTCAGAGCTTCTCAGTGTCACAGCTGGAAATTCCAGCTCCCAGCATTAGAGTTAGCAATTGGTTAGAAACGATATATAAACCTCAAAACAGAACCTGTCTGGGTGTTTTCTTCTTTAATACCAGCCTACATGCAGAAAATAATACAGAGCCACTCTCCTATCGCATTGGTGTGGTAAATTCACTGTACAGAATAAAAGATGCTTAAATGACTGAATTAGCTTTATTAGTTTATAAGCATTTACATCTGCATGGTCACATGTTAGCCCAGAGCTGTAACAATCCAATAGGTTGGTTAAGTAGTCCAAAGACTGAGAAGAAACTTGTGGCAACCAAATGCATGAAAAGAACTGAAGCTGTAATCATCAGTTGGATATAAGGAATGACTAGTGACTGAGTTGTAGGGCTTTTCAAGGAAATAATTCTGATGAAGACCTGAACCATGAGAATGACATCCCAGGAGTCATCCTCAGTCTTGATGGAAAGCCAGTCCACATTAGACAAGCACCTGGAAGCTGGGAAATGTATGTGAACTGCCTTGGAACTGAGCAGCTCCTACGGGGTGCTGATAATGGTCATTGAGGTCACTTGTCATGTCACAGGAAAGGCTTTGCACTTCAAAGCATCGGTCCTTTGCTCTTGAAATTTCACTGCCGCAGTTATTTGCATGAGATTTCTGGGATTGGCACAATTTACAGTTTCACAGAAGTCCAGAATACCCCTTTTTGCAGCCAAACTTAGACAGCAGTGAAAGAGGTGAAAAGGTTAAGAAAAAAGCAAAGAAGAAAAGAAAAGTGAAGGGTCACTTTAAGAAAGTGGGGAGGGAGAGGGAGAGTGGAGGATGTTCCAGGCTTGGTTTATATGCAAAGTTTTCATTTTAACTAAACCAATTGCCCACTCCCTCATGAAACAGACTGGATCTGAGTTATAACCAGGTTCCTGATAATAAGCCAACATGTGATTGACTGTGCAGATCACTGTAACATAAAGAGACCTGGGTCATCACATAGGTCATGAACAGGGATAGACATGTTTTAATTAAAGTCTACACCACATATTAAAAAGGGTACTGACATGGCATTCCCACAGTTCTCAGGTGCCTTGAAGGCATGTGGAATTTGTCTTATTTGCCTCAGAAGCACATCTATATTCCCCAGGCATCAGATTTAATATTATTATCCATGGACAGAAGATTACTCTCAATGGTTTGCTGGGGGGGGGGTGTTAATTTTCTATGGATAAAAATTGTATTTTTTCTATTGCCATGAAAGAAATGATATTAAGTATGAAACCTATGTCTATAATAAAAAATGAAGGGCTTTTAACATATCAGTTTTTCAGTAGATGCCCTGAGAACTATGGTTCCCAGAATTAATACAATGCTATAGCATATCCTTGTTAAGGACAGTGGTTATCATCCAGACCCATTTGGATTACTGGTCCTGCTCTAGTCTGATGCCCCAACATGCATTTATGCTGGTGGCTTTACTTCAGCCAGAGAACACAAATGGAGCATGTAGCTGTCAGGTAGGGTGGCTGTCTCATAAATTTCATGGTCCATTTTGCTGTACGGCCCAGTTTGGCAAAGCTGTTTATAATAGAGTTGGCCCTTAATCTTGATGTTAAAAATGTGGATCTAAATTTTGGAACTCAATACACAAGTTTTAAATATTATGTGAACTACAAGAGATAAAATAAAGTAACATTAACAAGAAAACCTGTGAAAATCCAGGCCACCTAGTAGAATAGGGACTGTTGTGGTACATGCCCATCTCGCTCTGTCTCTGGCTTGACTCTGTGGTTGGTGAAATGTCACCAGCATACCATGGCATCACTTGGAATAGGAACAGGCAGTCCAAATGGTGTTGGCTATTGGGGGAATGAAGAAGGCTAAAGTTGTAAGTGAATAGTATGCTGTATGCCCATGCCAGCTTGGCTCTTGGCTGTTTGCAGATTCAAACAGCTTTAGTTAAGTGCTGAAATGTGGTGTCCAGCTTCAATGAGGAACCTAGTTTGTTTTGCCTGTACATGGCCAGGAATTCCCACACTCATTCTGTCAGGTGCAGAATGGCTGCCAAACCATTAAAAGTCCTGGCCTTTCTTACACACCCCACTCCCTCCCCTAAATACCCTGACACACCCTACCACCCAGCTCCCTGATGTCCTCCACCTAAGCCCATTCTCACATGCCTTATCGCTTCGGTTTCCTTCTTCCCTTCCTCTAGGCCCCCTTCACAAATCCTATGCTCTCTGCTCCCCAACCCTTTTCTTTTTCCCTTTTTCCCCTACCCTGTCCCTTTTTAGAGGCTGCCTGTGCCCAGTGGGTGTTATTTCCCTCTTCCCTCTGCTGGCCTGACTCTAACCTTGGTGGTAGGGACTGCTGGAAGGTCTTCTCTGCTGCTTTTGACAAGTGCCAGTGGACCCAAGGAGTTAGTCTATCATCTGCCTGCTCTCCAGCGTGACTCACCCAATAACTAATTCAATAGAAGGACTGACTGGTTACTCTGGCCTGCCTCCTTCTTGGCTCCCATGCTGAGCTGTTGACAGACAGAGAACACCTAAAAACATCTAGCATTCAAGGATGTTCCATATACATACGGATGTATGTGTTTCCAAGAATCCTCTAGCCTGGGGACATGAGTCTTAATGGTGAGACAAAACTCAGTGCGAGGAGCTTTGGGACTGGTGGGAACAGCCAGTGGACACTCCAGACTACCCAGCACCAGAAAACCACTCTCTTGGGTTCTGAGTGCTGTCAAAACCCAGACAGAGTAACTGGGGAAGATATTTTCTCACCCCCATTTAAATGGGGTAAGAAAGTGTTAAAAGTGTTCCTCTGTGCCATGTTCTATAAAGATGTGCTCCCTGTATTGAAACTTATATTTCTTCCTCCCTCTGCATCCCAGTTTACTGCATTCCATTAAGAAAGGCTTAGGTACTAAAGTGATGGCAGCTATAGACAGCTCTGATGGATAAGATGAAGTAATTAAGAGCCAGATTCTGCCATCATTTAGTTAAGCAGTCCTGTAGTCTGTGAGTACTTGATAAAGGGGGCTACTCCCCATGAGAAGGGGAAGCAGAATAATTTCTGAGGCTGGGAAGTTATCCCTGGAGTCTAAAGAGTGACTTTTTGAGGCATTGAGATGCCAGAAGAGCACAGCTCACACCTAGACCAGATATAAAATAGCGCACTTACACCATAATAGGTTTTCCTCACAGTGTTGATGCACAAGTCAGGGGCCTAGACATAGCTTCAGTTTTGTGGGAATGTTTTCAGGGATGGCCAGGCAGAACACAGCGTTTGCAGGCTTTCTGTTCATTAACAGAGTTGCAAAAACCTGTTTGGCTTTTGGTAAATGCCTATCAATTAAGATAAGTGGGTGGGTAGAAATGGGAAGGGAACAAGGCAAGCTCCAATTTCAGTTACACTGTTCAGGCTATGCTAATGCAAACAGGGGCAGAATTTGACCTGGGCTGTGTAAGCTCCCAGCTTTGTGTGTTTCCTGCTTCAGAAGATAATGTGCTAAGTGACTCCTTTGTGCACAGAGGTATGGAAACCTTCTTTTTATGTTTTTCCCTCCCTCCCTCCTCTTTCCGTTCTATGATCCAGACACCACTAACTGTATGGAGTTGATGACTGGCAGACTTTCCAAATGTGGTAAGAACTTCCCTTCCACCTTTTCTCCCTCCCCAAAGCCCTGCTGAATAACATCTCACCACCCTGCCCCTTCCCATGCCCCTGGCACACCCATTCACCCCCTAGCAATGCGCTGTGCCCCTCACCTTTGTGTACACACATATACACACTCCTATTCTGCTTCTCCCCATCCATACACAGGCCCACAGGACCCATCACGATTTACCCCTGCCTATCACAGGTGTGTGCCAATCCACTTGTGAGTTCCTTCCCTCTCAGCTGCTCTCAGTGGGGGGTTTTGCTACTGAGTCAGAATTTGTGTCCACATCCCCTGCTTCTGTGAAGCTGAGACCATAGTCTCAGCTGCTGCTTCCTAGTGTCACCTGCTAAAGAGTCAGCACCCGCTCCCCTCCTCACCAAATGTCCAAGGACCTTTTGCTCCTGGAAGTCCAGCTCCTAAAATAAATTCCATGCCATGGGCAAATACATAAGCTGTATAAATTGGCGTCATTCCAGTCTGATCCTGACAGCTGATATTACTTCTACTAGTAGAGTGAGGGATGTGTGCTGCAGTTAATTTAAGTTTCCGCACTAGGGATGGGAGAGGTAGTTTCCCTCTAAAGTCACCTCTCTCCTTGCTTGAGGATTCCAGAGATTTCAGCTCCATTCCCACGCAAAGCCTGTCTTTCACTCCATCTTCCCTTCCTCAGTCCCCTTGACAGCAAGAGGAGAAATGCCCAAAGACAGTGATAGAGACCTTTCTCATAATCCTTTTGGCCCAAACAGGAAATGCCCCAAATAACACAAGAGAGTCTGCTCTCTTTAAATTTGCAGGCCAGAATTGCAGGTCAGAGAGGCATGAAAAGCACCAAAACATTCAGACATTTATAAGAACCTAAAATTGTAAGTGCACGGGGAATCTCTTTGCTGATCCAAACACTGCTCTCCCTTACACCACCAGCAATCCAAAGTAACAGCTTTGGGGCTCCTGTACACATGCAGCAAGGCTGGTCTGACGCACTGTAATTACAGCACATGGGAGCAGACTCGATTAATCAAGTCTGCTGGAGCGTGGTAATTACCGCACTCCAGCAGATGCCAGCATCCCACGTATCAGTGTCCCCTCACTGAAAAATGGCACTTTAATGAAAGTTTGTTCAATGAGCTGTAGTTGAAGCCCCCAGCTTGTTCAGCGAGCTTTAGTTAAAGTGCCCTTGCCATCATTTTTTCAGTGTGGGGATGCTGATAAACATCATGCACTGGGACCTGCAGGTCTCAGTGCTGCTCTAGTTAAAGCATGTGTCCACCCCAGGAGCATGTGTATAAATGCCCTTAGTGTCTGAAGAGTTACTCTGGCTTTGCAGTGGAGGACATGCCAGATTTATACTAGGGAACTAAAAGCTGAATTTGGTCCATTTCCTTTTACTTACATGAGTCTTTCCTTTAAAATACAGATCAGCTAGAAGCATTTTTTTGTTCTTCTCTGAGGGGGGCTCATTTTGATTTGTCATCTGAGCTCCTAGGTTATGTTACTTCCAGATTTCTCCTGGAAGTTCATTTAGTTCCCAGGTAGCCCTCCAACCTCTCCTTTAGCATCAAACAGAAAATCTCTCCTTGCCTTCCAGCCTCAAATACTTGCCTAAAAGTGGCATCAACATCATGCAAAAAATGTGGAAATGCTGATTCTGCTGATTGCTTGCAAGTTAATAGACCCACACAGAAAGCTAGGCAGTGCTCTGGGCTCACTAGACAATGTATCGCTGTTTATTCCCCATTCAGCCAGGCCCAGCAGCTGTCAGGGTGTCAACCCCACTACTGACAAGGGATGGGGGAGAAAGTAGTAACAGCCGGTATATGGAAACATTCTGTAGGGTACAGTAGAGGGACAGTGTGTAAATCCAGAGTCATCCTTCAATCCTTAGAGGAGTTCTCATTCAGTTTGTGTGGGGACAAGTGATGGCAGAATTTTACCCGTAGTAGGGAAACTCTCCACTATGACTTGGCAGGCAAGCAGCCTCATCATATGAGATTAAAATAATGTTCACCAGTGAGCTACTAGAGGGGTAATAAAAAACAAGTACCCCAGTGTACAAGCCCGATCCAGATGCTGGCTGCTGACAGGGGGCTCTGAGAAGCCCATCCAATTCTAAAACTTGATTTTACATGCTGAGAAACACTTGCCATTCACCACAGGAACTTTCCATTCCACCCACCAGATCTGTTTGGGGCTGGTTCTCCATCCCCCCCCCAGGGAAAACAGACATTGCTTATTTCTCTTTCCTGATGAATCCATAGCAAAGTCCAAAGTCTGTATCATCAGCACTTCCATGGCAGCAGCTTGGGATGACATGAAGAAAGGGATATTATTCGTATTACAGGTAGCGGCTCAAGGCCTGCATCAGATCAGGAGTCCAGGGTACAGACATGTACCCCAAAGAACTCACTGCCCAGTTCTGTCGACCTCAGGCTGTTTAGGAGCTTTCCTGTCTACTCTGCTATATCTTTTGTTGGCTACTTGTGCTGGAAAGCCTTGGGCCCTACTCCAAATTGTTAAAGAGCATTCTGGCCATCTTGGTGAATTACTGACTTTTACGGTGATGCTTGGGTCATAGCAGAAGCACAGTGGTGTCCAGTTGCCTTTTGTATTCCCACAATTCATCTTGCTCTTGTCTCTTGCTCCTTGAATCTTGGAGAACTTGTCATGGCTTCCTAATTGGAGTCACCTGACCCTCATCTCCAATGAACAGGAACGCTACACAGGGAAGGACTGCAGGGCAGTAAAGGTTCTTCTTTCTATTTCCCCTGACAACCCTATGTCAGTGGCCAGACACCTCTATACTGAGCCAGGATTTGGGACAGGTTGTATGCTTTATGCTTGGTTAGACTATATTTGGTCTCTAGCTGAAACGAGGCATCTCTGTGTGTTGCTAATGTAAAGCTCTTGACTAGCAGAGTAAAGATCTTGAATAGCAGAGTATCCAGACTTGGAGCTAGAATGGTCCTGATCTTGTAAGCACTAGACATCCTATTCCTTCTGGATTCCTCCAGATATTTGCTATTTCTGACATTTCTCTGTGTCCTGATGCCAATTAGCTGTAATGAATATTATTGATATAATTTGACTGATATGGGGATGAATTGTGACCCAAGCAGGGGGAAGTCCATCTTAAAAAATGATAAACCAAGTCAAAATTTAAACCAGGAAATGTGGTTGGATGAATTTTTCAGCATGGTCTGGACCCAATTTCCAAATATTTTGTGAGGAAAAGGAAGGGTCAGATTTGCAAGTGTTCAGCATCCAGCAGCTCTTATTGTGATGCTGATGCCCAGTTTCCTAATCTCCAGCCTCAGGTCCCTGCCTTTTCTACTGCAACTGCACAGTTCCCTGAAGAAAACTTGGAAATGTATGCTTTGAATAAGAAAGGTGCTATACAATATATACTTGATTTGCATCAGTCAGTGAAGGTCCCACGTGAGTGTTTGCTTTGCCTTGCTGAGCTAAACTGAACTGACTTTTTTTTTTAATAACATCATGTGGCGGTGGCATTGCTACACAAGAAACCGGAGTTGAGAGGGAGGAACTGAACTTTCCCCCCATGTAAATAAGGCTCTAGTTTGTCTCAATGGGAACAGTTCAGGAAACTGGGAACTCATGAGGTCACAGCTGCCCATCTATCTGGTAGAAAAGGGGCAAATCTTGGTTTCAAGTGCTGGTGTTCTGCTGGCAGCACAGGGAGTGTTACCTTTGCATACAAGGGGAGGACAGAGAAGCAAGCACCTTTAAGAAAACTGAGTAGCAGTCTTAGTGATGCTGCCAATTTCTGTGGCCTTATGGGTATAAATACCACCAGCCTCCTCCTTCCATACCCCACATGTGCAGGGTGCTTTTTATGTAAGAGAGGAAACCTTTGATAGAAAAAACGCCCAGTGGTGAACCAGAGATAACAAACCCCTCCATTTACTCAACTAGCCCCCTCATTATAACATTACTCAGTGCTGTTGACCCGGCCTTGCTAGTGTTTTTGCTTCTGTTTTTTAAGGATGAACTGATGTCTTTGCACTATGGCACACTTCTGAAATGGTAATAGAAAAGGAATGTGCAAGACAGCTCAGTATGCCCAACCCATATTCCCCCCACTCTGCAGCTTCCACCACCTATTCCCTGAAAGCTGCCCGGTTACATGATATTGTCTGACCCACTGGAAGCTGAGCAGGCCATCTGCTGCATTGTGTATGTATGAGAGACAGCAAGCATGAGTGTACAAGGTAGAGGTGGGTATCTCCCCTACCTGCCAATACCTGTGATCTGCCATAAATATAGAACTTCACTCCTACATTGAAGAGTGTATCATCTGGAGGGCTGAAGATAAAGACAGGCTATAGGTAGAGCATTTCATGTGTAGGGTGCCGGTTCAAACTGAACATTACCATCAAGGGATGCTGGTGTGGAGACCTGCAGACAAAAAAAAATGTGTGTATGATGGATTCTGTGCAGTCCTTGATAGATGGGTATCCATTGTTTAAAAGTAGCCATCATTTAGCACCGTCAGGAACAGTGTAGAAGTCAGGGACTGAGTGGACCCTAGACACTGAGCACTCCTTTCACTTGTAGAAGTTGTCCTTCTGGGTCAGGCTGGAGGTGTATCACTGGGAAAGTTGGAGCTGTTCTGTGGGAACATAGACCTCAGTCTCCCACCCTGTCAACCCACCTTCATCAGCTGGCACTAAATTGAACTAAAATAAACGATCATTTTTAGGGTTGTAAGACAAATGCACTGATTCTGATACCACCTAAAAAAGTGTCAAGTAGGAAATTTCTCTAGAAATGTCTCTAATGCTGTACATCAGCAGTTCTGAACCTTTTTCAGTTGATGTACCCCTTGACCTCTAGCAAGACAGGTAAGAGTCAGGCCTGTCTGCTGTTTTCCTCCACTACACATGATAGCTTCATCCATCCAACGCATTCACATGTGGAATTTTTCCTCTGACATCATGCATCATGAGATTGTGAGTAGTTTGTG